GTAGAGGGATACCAAAGCCAAAGCACTCCTGTGAGCTCAGTGAAGGGCAGAGGACAGACAACGCCTTCCAGCGGCACAGCCCAAACCTGGGGATTGACCTGCAGGGAGCTCGGTGCAAGGACCGGGCCTTACTGCAGCCTGGGCAGCTCATCCCCCTACTGTCCCTACACAGGATCTTATACAAGGTTTTGTTAGTGTGGAGGTCTGGCATCAGGGTTAGCAGGCAGAGGACAGGATCTATGCTTTTTGCATGACCTGTAGCTCCCTAGAACTGTTTAGGTATCTAATCCTGATCCAGGCTCCTGATCACTGGTGTCAACAGTAGTTTCAGTAGCCAAGGTGAGTTAGGTGCCCATGTGCCATGGAGAATCTGGCCTCAAACTTGTCAGCATCTCTATAATAAGAGATATTACTGTTACAATTACTGTTACTTCCTACTGCCTCCTCCATGCTTGCCATTGGAAAAATGTTAGTCAGCCTCTAAAATCTTTGGGAACAGATGCAAATCTTGGCAAGGCGTTTAAACCTAGCTGTGGTTCATATCTTTTCCAACAGTTTCTTTGCACTCCTGTGATCTGGAGAGTTTATGTCTTATTGATGCTTTTGGTCACCTTTTGTGTATCTTTTTTTACAGAGGTGAGTATATTTATTGACCTTCCTTTCCCTGGGGGTGAATGGGAGCAGTGTCTGTTTGTCTTTCCTCCCTTATTAGCAGCCACACTCTCCTCCTGCAGAAGCATGAACCTGCAGGCCTCTTTTCCCCTGCCTACCCCCCCCCATCAATCAATCAAATCCCTTTCACTCAGCATCAGAGGCTTTAGACCACTTCTCTTAAGCCTTCAGGGGGAGAAATAAATTGAACGTTACCAGTAAGGAAACCCGCTCTCCTTACTTGCTGGGAGCAGGACTGGCTCTGCAGGTAGTGGAGCAGACAGCTGCACGTGCAGTTGTCTGGTAGTGACTTTAAAGCCCTTTCCTTCTCGATCTAAAATCATTCAGGCCAGAGATTGTATGGGCTAATGCAGTAATTAAAAAACAAAACAAAAAAAAGAAAAGAAGCCCAGATGCTCACAAATAATATGCTGTGGGTCAGAGATGGCTGTGTTTCACCAGATAGGGTCATGGAGCTGTATCCAGAACTGGGTATTGCTCCTTGCAAGAAAACAAGAGTCCCAGGAGGAAAAACTTGTCCCTGAGTAGTCCCTTCAGCTAAACAGATTGACATTAGTGTCATAAAGATACAACTAAGCAGAGTCTTCCCATCAACTAGGACATGTGATGTCCACATAGCATTTGGTGGCTGCTTTGCGGAAGAGGTGGGCACGCACATGCCCTGTGCTGTGCTCCCTGTTGCCTATAAGAGCCAAGGCTTACAGGATTTTTTGCACATATAACAAAGGATGGTTTTTGTTCACTGAACACTTCTCCCTCTCCATGAAGAGCAACAGCCCTGACTCTGCTTTGTGTCACTCCACAGGATGTTATCTTGCAAAACAAACACCTCTGGCTGCTGCTTAAATCCTCGTTTGGGTTCCAGTCAAACAGCCAGTACCGGAAATGGCAGAGGAAGCTGCAAAAGGATCCAAATTGGCCTCCCTTAAATGCAAAAGATTTTGCAGCAAAAAACACAAATGAGATTTATGTTAACCCAATATACGAACCTAAGGCAGGGGCTGAGGGGTAGGACGGCATATTGACTAGCTTGCACTGAACAGTCCACACTTTCATCACTCAGTATGCACAAGATTCACATTTTCTTTAAATGCATGAGCAAACCAAACATTTCCAAGGCGGACTGGGCCTGCTGTGGCTGTGCCCTGGAGCACAGACAAGCAATATTCTCTCAGTCACTGGCAAAAAAACCGACTTTGGTTCCACTCTGTGGCCACAGCAGGTCTCAGGCCTTGCCAATATCCCCTACAAAGTCTCAAGAAATACTGAATGAAGTGATGGTTTCCACTGTGTCACATCATGATCCCATGCCAGGTTTTGGCCACCACTCCACCAAATCCTGTCAACGTATCCACTGAACTTAAGGGCAAGGCAGTTCCAAAAAAAAAAAAAAAAAAAAAAGGAAAAGAAAACCTGTGACCTAATCTTGACTCCATGGGAGAGCATGCATTGCAAAATTGCAAAAGCCAGCATTAAACAACACCCTGCAGCTCCCAAGCCCTATAAGACAGGCCCAGATATCATGTAATTCTAGCGTTCTTCCATCCTGTAGTGATGTGAGAGGACGCACGCATTGCCCTACCTGGCCCCCACCTTGACAGTTTCTGCACAAATATAGCTCAATGAATACATAAAAGGTGTAAGCTGTCACGTCAGGCTGGGAAGGCTAGCAAAGTATCCACAAAGATATGTCCCACTTAAGCTTGCAAAGTCTGAGGAAGGAAGAGCTGCCACCTGCTCTGCCACACACAAGCACAACCGCCCCCCCCCCCCCAAACCTACACCACCCCAAATGTCTCCCCCCCGCAGAGCTGGCCGGGAAGGGTCAGTGAGATAACCCACAAGCTTCTCCATTGTGCCTGCACATTTCAAGAGGGCCTACGGCAGGATCAGTCCTGTTTTATCTCAGCTACCGACACTATAGTTTCTGCTGGCTCAGACTCATACACTTTGAGCACGACACGCAGAGACCTAAATGCTATCCTCACTTTGGTATCACATAGCACTACTACTTTCAAGGACTCGGTGGAAAGCTGCACTGAGCCTTGACTTTTTGCTTTAAATAGGTCATGCCAAGAAGGAAGGGTTTTAATGTGCTCTAGAGCTCTGCTGCTAAACAGGTACAGGAAGCTGAGCCTCTCTAGATTAGCTTTTTCATTTTTAATCTTTCAGTGACCTAATTAGTTAGCCATGAAAGAACTTTTCATTACATTTGAGGCAACTGAAAAAGGCCTTTCAGGTGCAGATTTATTATAATGTATTTTCCCCATACTAAAAAGGAAGAATGCTATTTAAATGTAGTAAGAGAGGTCACTACAAAATATGACCAGATGGCTTTGCCTTGTTATTTCAAACACTGGAACAACTAACGTTTTTTTTTTAAAAAAAAAAAAAAAAAAAGCAGCATCTGATTCAGCTATGTACATGTTAAAAGCAGATAAATATAGCAAGCCTTTTACAGCCAGCTCTTTTGTGCTCATCTCTTCTTACAGTCCAGGCAGCTGCACATGGAAAAAGCAACACAGGATTTAATTTCTTATGTGCAGTCTGCAAATAACATGGTTCCAAACATGCAAACCAAATACTCCCTTCAGACAGCAATCAATCACAACTTTTCTAACTAGTTTTCTCATGAGACAAGTCACGCAGCAGCTTTGTGACTGGCAAATAGTTGGGCTCTGTAGATTTTGTGAGATGTCACATAGACGCTGCACAGGTGCTTCACCTATAGGTGAAGCAGGGACACTGGGCTTAACCTACTGCTGGCTGGAGGAAGATCTTAATTGCGCTGGAGCAACAAGCTGCTTAAACTTAATTTTGGACACTGCAGAGAAAATGGCCCCGGCTCCAGACATGGCTCCTGGTTGACCTTACAACTCACTACAGCCTTACGTTAAGCCTCATCACTTTGGGAGACCAAGGAATAAGCTTGGTCAGGTCCAGTACCAACAGTTACCACACTTACATGGATGAAGAGGGAAATTTTATTTGCATAGAGGTCCCAATCTGGAACAAATAGCTGCCAGAGAAAAAGCCAGCTGGGGGGTTTTGTTAGACTCCCAGAGCACTCAAAATGTGGGTCTGCTGCTCTCAAAAGGAGTCAGAGGAACCAGGGAAAGGGATGCCTTGCAGGTGGAAGAAAACCAAGCAAGACACCGCCATGCCAAAAACAAAATGCCAATGTAAAACACATGATGAGGGAGTCATCTCTTAAGATCTGCCCTTCCTTCCTGCCTCCCTCACTCTCAAGAGCAGCTCAGAGTTCAGGAACTGCAAGTATAAGGGCCAAAACACAGTACAGGCCTTGTCTAGCATTTCCCAGGCAGTCTCATGCGGGTCCAAGCAACTGGGATTTTCAACTTGTACAGAGACATCAGCTGGAGGACACGTAATACCCCTTGGCAATATTTTTATGTTACTTTTGTTTTCAAAAAAAATGCAAAAATGTTTCTTCAAATTGGTTTAAAAAGGTTATTAAAAGAGCTCACAGGAAGCACTCTATAGAAACAGCACATGTAGAAAGACCGTTAGCAGGCTCACTGGACTAGTCCTCAGCAAAGCAGTAGGTGGGGGAGTGTGTGTGTGTGTGTGTGTGTGTGTGTGTGTGTGATATTTGCTGGAATTTGCTAGCTCTGCAAGACTAACACGGACATCATCACAACGTAATGCAAGCAGCTGTGGCAAATAGGGTAGTGCTGGTCTCATCAACAGCGACACATTTGTTAGTCTCAGTTGCAGCTACAGCCACAAACTGTCCTGCTTCCATCCCAGCCAGGGATCCAGCTAGTCTGCTCTGACCGCTTATCACGAGAGTCAGTCAATACTGTCTTTCTCTGGATCTGCTTCGGAAAAAGCCCAGCAAGGAGAAGGCACCAGCAGCAGCCGTTACAAACCCAATGGCACTGATTGCTCGGCTGGCCTGCAAAGGGAGAGCAAAACACAGACTGGAAACACTGTGAGTGGTTCCCCTCCCCGCCCAGGCATGCTGATGATGACCAGGCAGACGTAACTGAGACAATGATTGAATACGAGACACACACATACCCCATAAGCAGAATGGTACAGACCTAAGGCCCAGACCCTTACCCTCCTGGCTGTGGCGTTCAGCAAGAGGGGCGCTACTGGAGCTCAGACTGTAGCAAATCTTATGGTCCAGTGTCTCAGCCAGACTGGGAGCAACGATGGGTTGGTCTCAGTACTTGGGTTTTGCCGTCCCCAAGGAGTTCGCTGGCTGTGACCGAGTCCAGGGGCTCATAAAGAGAATTTAAGTGCATGCTTTGCAAGGAGGAGCCATAGAAGCATGCACAGAATTACTCGGTGTTCCTTACCTGTTCAGAGACCCCCTCGCCGTAGCGGAGCAGCGTCACAAAGTGCTCACAGTTGTTGCCAAGCAGGTCATAAGACACCTCCTGGTCGATGAGGTACTCAGCGCGCCGGATGATCTCCTCCACGGGAAGGGGAGGGTAGGTGTCGTCGTACTTGTTGTTGATTTGGTAGGTGTCGTTTCCCACCACATCCTTCAGGAGCTGCATCCTCACCCGGGCCTTTCTGCTAAAGACTGACTTGGCGCTGGCGAATGACGCCGCAGGCCCTTCATCTGGGGAAGACAGAGTCAGGATGAGCCAGGGTCTTGCCCCTCCGAGACCCCAGAGCAGTTTCTGGCTGGCTCCTGGAAGTCCTATGGGTGATACCTGCCTGGAGACGCCTGCGCACATTTGTGCCCCCAGCAGCAGTGAAGGGGACAGCAGTAACCTAAAAGGAACCTGTATACAACCCACAGAGCACTGAGGGCAGCAGTCTTCCCCCAGCCACAAGCCTCCCCCAGAAAAGGGACGTGCAACCCTCTCCACACAATCCTCTGGAGCCTACCAGGCTCCTCATACAGGCTAGTTCTGAGGATTTTCCTGAGAGGCAGAAAAGGTCTTGAGATACAGCATGTCCCTGCTCCACTGTGAACAGGTTTTTGAACTAGTCACAGCTAAGGATGGGCACAAGGCCACACAGGTGGCAACCGTTGCTCCTCCCTCACTTTTGGCCTCTTGTTCATCGTGATGCTGTCAAGAAACCCAAAGCTGCCCAGAGTCAACCACCTGTCCTTGGAGCAAGGAGCTCCTGGATCACCCCAAGGCACCCTGCTGCCATCCTGCAAGCCTTACCTACAGGTGTCACGTTGATGATGTATCCATCCCCCAGGTAGAGGGCCCAGTGCTGATAAGCTGGTCGGAAAATCTCGATCAGGTCCCCAGGCTGGGGGTTCCCAGGGTGCGTCGCGCTGAAGCTCTCCGTAGCTGCCATCTCAGAGGGAGGGGAGCTGGTGCCGGCTCACGACATGCCCCTCTCATAGGGCAGGCTTCACACAAGGCACAGAGGAGCGGGGAGACCTGGCGTGCGCAGAGGCCATCTGCTTAGCAAGCACAGGCAAAGAGATCATTAGGGCGCAGCACTGGCCACGTGCAACCCGCGCAGACCACCCGTGACACGTCCCGTGCAGCGGCCAGCAGGCACCGACCAGAGGCTGCCGCCGGCCGCTGCGCAGCTGTCCCCCTCCCGCGCTGCAGGGGCCCTG